TAACTAAATCCACACGAACAGCATTTTGACAAGGCAACCGGTTTGGAGCCAGCTCGGTGTTTGAAGTGGCGCGCCGCACCGCCCTGGGGCCCACCGCGCAGGGCGGGGACCGCGGCGGCGCTCTTGGCAGTGTGCGTGTGTGGCCTCGCGCCGCCTTGCCGGATTCAGCCATCAGTACGGGAGCTGGTGTTGCTGCGGCGGCCAGCGGGGCTTAGGCTTATGCCACTCGTAAAGCAGATGTCCGCCCGGTGACATTTCCATACCCGTTTATCCTATGGATGCAGCAGCCGGGTGTTGAATCCTCAACGAGGAAGTGTCGATGCGTATCGACGTATGCGGCGCGCGGGCCTCGCGCGCCCAGGTCGTTCCCCGGACTTGTCGCCTGCTCAGCGTGTTTGCTCTGCGGGATAGAGAGAGAGGAGCCCGCCAGGGAGCGCAAGAAAAAAGTCTAAACCGTGCACTTTTCTCACTACGTTCACACTTACTTACTTTATTTGTATCTTTTATGTGTTCAAATGTTAGCAATCAAGTTTGTTTTGCTAGAACAGCACTTCTTTTGGATCACACATTAAAATGTTGGCTGTTACCATAGCAGCGAAAAACAGTTGCAGCTATGGTAACAGCAAAAAAGTTAGCAGGTAAAGCAAAATGTTTTGCTGTTTTAGCCAATCTTTTGCTGGAGCAGCAAACCGTTTGCTAAATTTTTCCAGGATTACTTCTGATTTAGCAAACACAACATTTTGCGTGTGTGTCCCCCACACAAACACGACCCAAACGAAATTGTTGTACACTGGGAGCAGAAAGGAACAGGGGGGAAGGACCAGCTAAAGAACAGCGCTCTTCAGCCGTTGCGAGCTTCCTCGTTTCTTTTCTTCTCGATATGCATTCTCTTCAATTTCGTTTATCCATTTGTCCGTCCCTTTTATTTTGTTTTTATTGTTCCCCCTGAGCAGACGGCCGCCGCCCCGGCCGGCGATGCGCCTCAGACAGCGTGGCGGCGGGCAGGTGAGGTGCGGTGCGGCGGCGGGGGCTTGCGGTGGGGCGGTGCGGTGCGCAGGGCGGCGCAGGGCGCGAGAGGTTAAAAGTAGATCGTAAAACAAAAACAAGATATATTGGTGCTGCGGTTTGAGCCGGGCTGGGGCTGCGTGCGTGCGGCGGCTGGGTCTGGCTGAGCTCAGGCGATCTTCATATGGAAGTCGCCGTCCCCTTCTCTCTCTCTCCCTCTCTTCTTCGTTTCACTTTGAGCCCCTGTCCGTTGGTCTTTGTCTTTTTCCGACTCTTTTTGTCTTTGGCTGCCGCGCTGCTTGATTGCACGCGAACCTTGTGTTCGTGTGCGTGCGTGTGTTGCTCGTGCGCATCTGTGCGCATCGTGTGTGTGCGTGACCTTTTGGTCGATAGATAATACGGTAACGTCATTTTCTTTGTCGAAACGGAACATTCCGAATGTTCTGCAACGTAACTCTCTGGGGTACGACAGAACATTGGACGGACAGGGCGGGTGTCTGCCAGTGTGTGAGTGTGTGCGCTGTGTTGATGTGTGAGTGTGGCGGGAGATAATTTGAGGGCAAACGAGAGAAGGCAGGAGAATGGAGGTGGGAGAGGGAGATGTGTGAATGCCATAAAATGTTTAGTGTTTAATAAGCTGCTGCTGGTCAGGCCGGGGCAGCCCAGCTCACACGTCCGAGAGAAGGGCGAAGGGCCGGCGTAAACGAGAAAATGTTTGGGAATGGTTTCGGGACAAGGCTCACAGCAAGGCTAACTGCTATTTAGTGATGGCATATGGCGAGGGCTCGCTGATTTCCACCGAATGTATTTGGTGATATACCAAGTTAGCAGCAGTGCGACTGCATGGTAAATCACTCTAAAAAATAATACAAAATTCTGTATCGTTTTTACGCAGTTATTTACATATCCCTTTGATACAAATTTCTGTATCAAAAACGATACAGACTCTTATAACATATACAAAAATCTGTATGAAAATAACAGATTTTTGTATCCGTTACAAAAGTCTGTATCGTTTTTGATACAAAATTTTGTATCATAGGATATGTAAATTACTGCGTAACAATTTACAGAATTCTATACTGATTTTTGAATTGTTGTGGAAAAAGAGAAAATTTTGAGGAGCTCTCATAGTTTAAGGCATGGTTCTCAGATTTCGAATACATCTCAAAAATTTAAATGTGGGAATTTTCCTCGTGTTGTGTGGAGATATCCTTAAAATCTGAAGAGTCCTCCTGAAGTTATGGAATTGTCTCGATGTTTTTTTTTGTTTCCCTCAAAAATTGAGACATGTGTTTTTACCGTGTTCACAAGTTCAGTTCAAGATCTGTCTGACTCGGTAGTAGACACCGGCACC